ATCATTTCTTTCTATTTTTAGTAGAGACAGGGTCTCGCTCTTGCTCAGGCTGGTCTCAAACTCCTGACCTTGAGTGATCCACCCACCTCGGCCTCCCAGAGTGCTAGGATTATGGGTGTGAGCCACCGCGCCTGGCCCTATTTTAATTCTTAAATCTAAAAATCCTGGAAAAGGGTTCTCATTGGGCCTATCTTAAAATCAGATGCCCATCCCTAGACTGATCAATTGGCCAGAGGAGGTTAAGTACTATGACCAGCCTAGTTTGAGTGAGGTGTTTCCTTTGGGATAACAAGCTGTGGCCAGGGGAGCAAAGTCTGTAAAAATATGGTAGATTCTATTCAAAGCACATGGCTGGAGAAACAGGTTATTTCCCAGAAAAGGAAAGCTATCTACAGTACAACAAAGTACTGTATGCAACATTAACCAAATAAACCTTTTTTCCTAAGAGGACAAGAAATTAGTTTAATCTCCATTGCTCATTTTTCATAGTTGTGTGTGTGGAAAAAAACATAAAGTGCTTTTTCATATTTTCTCACTCAACACAATAAACACAGGCAGAATTTTGTGACCAAATGTGGGGGATTTCTCCCCACCAATAAATAAGCAATCAATTCTGCATTGGGCAGCAGCTGGGTGTTCTCTAACTCAATTCTGAAACTAGCTGCTTAGAAATAGTGTCAGATCCCAGAGGTTGAGGGCTCAGTCTCCAAAACTGCCCCCTCCCTTCAGGCACTGGGGACAAATGTGGTCCTCCAGAACTTCTGGCTGACCATTTTGAAGTTGGGGTTTGCTTGACTCCCTCTTTTGATTAATTTGGTGGAGTGGCTCACAGAACCCATGGAAAGACATGTCTGTTTATTATAAAGGATATCACAAGTGCAGTGGCACAATCGTAGCTTACTGAAGCCTCAAACTCCTGGGCTCAAGTCATCTTCCTGTCTTAGCCTCCCCAAAATGCTGGGACTACAGGGGTGAGCCATCGTGCCTGGCCAGCATTATTTTATTTTTAGGATAGATATCTAAAAATCCTTTTATTTTTAGGCTAGCTGGAATTTCATAATAATTTGCTTAGAAAAGGTCAATTGGCTAGAAAAACAAAAATAGTTTTTCTGTATTTCTCTACTTATTTAATCATCTTTCCATATACGGGTTCACTAATTTTATTTGCTGGGTTATCTACTAATTTTTTGGGGGGAGAGAAGGTCTTAGTGATTTTTCTTATTTACTTTATGAACTCACATAAAAAGGCTGTTAACTTCGCATCATATTTATTTTTTGCATTTTTCCATCTGTTGGTGTTTTAGTTTTGGTTTTTGGTTTCATTTTTATTTTTGACCTAGAGCAATTTAACACTGTATCTAATAAAATATATTCATCTTTTGGTTTCTTTAAAAAAAAAAAAAGGATATTACAAAGGACACAGACGAAGAGATACACAGGGCAAGGTATGAGGGGAGCGTGGAGCTTCCATATCCCTCCCAGGTTGACCACCCTCCAGGAACCTCCACGTGTTCAGGATCGGCAAGTTCTCTGAACTCTGTTACAGTTTTGGGCCTTCTATGGAGACTTCATTACATAGGTATGACTGATTAAACCATTGGCCATTGGTGATCAACTTAACCTTCAGCCTCCTTACCCTATCTGGAAGTCAGGGAGTAGGACTGAAAGTCTCAACCCTGTAATTCTGACTTGGCCTTTTTTTTTTTGAGACAGAATCTCCCTCTGTCGCCCAGAGTAGAGTGTAGTGGCATCATCATAGCTCACTGCAACATCCAACTCCTGAGCTCCTGACTTGGCCTTTAAGGTGACCAGCTCTCATCCTGAAGCTACCTGCCAGCCATCCGGCAAACACTAGCATACAAAAAGACATCACTTTGGAGATTCCAAAGATCTTAGAAGTTTATGCTAGAAAAAGGGAATGAAGATCAAATATATATTTCACAATATCACAATAGTACAGCCAATTTCCATGACATGCCAAGTGATGTCTTAGCCTTTTGTTTAACCAAGATTCAGTTAAACAACATACCTTAGTGCCTATGACATGCCCAGCACTGTACAATGCTTTTACTTTAATACGTGAACTACCGTGTAAAGTTTAGAAATCTTTTCTCTATCAATTTTTTATGATAGGGTAGTAACTGACATGGATAAAAGAACATTTAAGATGTAAAATGAGCTGGGCATAGTGGCACAGGTACCTGTAATCCCAGCTCCTCAGGTGACTCAGGCAGGAAGATTGCCAGAGCCAAGGAGTTCAAGACCAGCTTGGGCAACATAGGGAAACCTCATTTCAAAAAAAAAAAAAAAAAAAAAAAAGCATAGTGAATTATGAGCGAATCAAAAGAATTCACAAAACAGTCATGCCAATGGTACAATTGTTTTACTGGGATCATTTAAAGATTATTCTATTCAAAAAACTTGGACAACTCTTT